AAATTAAAGTTTTCCATTATTAAAGTTCGAAAAAGCTTTTTTATGTATCGGTACGCCCTCTTGTAAAAGTTCAACTTATAAGAATTGTTTTGTAACAAGGTCGAACTTGTACAGTTCGATTGAAACGGTCCATTTGTTTCACGTTATTGGTACATAAAATTTTTAATAAAACAATTTTCTTTTTTAATTTTAAATGTGAAAATCACCTACAAAATTACAAAAAGAAAAATCCTTTAATTCGCATTAATCTCGGTTGTTTGATAATCACGGGAGGGGGGGAAGCGGGTTACTTTGGGCTGGATGGGTAGGTGAATAATATGAATAAAAACTTTCATTATGAAAGGTAAAAATATTCTTGAGCGCGTTGAATAAATGCGATAAATTATTATTTGTGATGATTGGATTTGATGAACGAGCTCTTAATAATAAAGTTCTGTTTATTCTTAAATTAGCCGATTAAATCATTCAAGTGTTTTGTTTTGTTGAACTTTAATATAAGTATTTTTTTATTGTGCAGATTTGTTTTGTTTTGCTATAAACAAAAAAAGAAGAGGGTTAATCAAAGAGACTAGAGAGTAGAGAGTAGTTTTTTTTTTGTTTATTTTAATGAGTTTTCTCTTTTCTTTTCATTTATTTTCCCAATTACTTGCTGTTTACTTTAATAAACACTCTCTACATATAATTAGAAGCATAATTTAATTATAATAAGTACACAGGTACATAATATGTATGCATGCATGTATATATATACGGATACGCAAATAATCTGTTATATTTTTTTTTATATATATAACAAATTTTCTGTTATATTTTATTATGAAAATTTTAATCAAATATTTTCTTCTTTTTTTTTTCTCTTTTACTTTTATAAACATTTATGTATGAAGTTGTTTTTGTTTTTTCTAATATTTTGACATATGGTATTTTTTGCTTTTTTGAGAATTTTTATTAAATTTCATTATACCGACTTAAAATACAAATAATTTCATTTGTTTATTATAAATTTTAATATTAAAAATATTTAAATAAAAAATTTTGCTTGTTTTTTTTTTTTAGTATTTCAATTCTTTCGGAATAATTAAAAACGATCTAACGGAAATAAATAATATAAATTTGGTTTTAATTTTTTTATTTTAAATATTTTTGAAAAAAAAAAAAAACAAAATGAAAATATTAAATTGGGAAAATGAAGTAAAAAAAATACTTATTAATTTATAATTTTTAAGTATATTTTTTTTATAATATCGTATATATAATATCGTATATATAATATCGTATATATAATGTAATATCGTAATTTTAATAATTTGCTATAAATGCAGCATAGGTTTTATCTAAAATCGAAAAATCAAATTTCTTTTACTGTATAAATTGTATATAACAGAATAATTGAATTTGGTATACTGTTCAGTTGTATGTTATACATTATTTACTATGTCATACATTATTTATTATATTTACAGAGGGTTGGTTCAAATATCGAATCACTAAATGATGGTAATATTTTTATCGTAAATGTTTTAAAAATCATATTATGTACACCAATTATTTGTATGAATTAATTTATTTGTGTTAACAATAATATCAGATTTTTTACGATAATAATCACTTATCATTTATTAATTCGATACTCGAAATAAACCCAACTAAATTATAAATATTTTTGTATTTTTCTATATTTATTTACGTTAGGTAGCATTTAATTGTAATTAATAATTATGATAGCTACTACTTATACGCGACAACAACGCTTTAATGTTAATATTCATAAACAAAACTCACTATATCACATGTTTGCAGTTTTTAAATATTCTCATAAGAATTTCACAGCACTATTAAATAATGTACAAACATATTTTCAATTTTAAGCAAAGAGTAAAATTAAAAATTTCGAATTTAATTTTAATTAATATTTTAAACTTAATTCATTTTATTTGCGGTAGTGGTAGGACAGCTTTTGAAATTTGTGATTACATATTGAAATTAATATAAAATTTTGATGAAATTGAAAGCTAAAATTAAGACTGTTAAAGCAATTATTGCATTCAAAAGTAAAAAATTTCTCAAAATAGGAAAAAACTAGTGAAAGAACAAAATTTTATAATTGCAGTATCACTGTCAATTGTGAACTATATATATCAAATTTATACCAAATAGAATTTTTCTTATATCCGTTATAAAGTATGTGCGAAAGGTATTATAAATTTGCCTTTAAATTTTGTAACGGTAGGAAATAATGGTCTGAGATATAGACATAAGTGTATGTTTTTAATCAGTGTCGAATTCTGTGTCGAATTCTGTCTGTTCGTCCACCCAAACAGTAATGCAAAAAAAAAAAAACTAATTGAGCACAGTAAATGCCGAAATTGAAATTATTAATAAAATGTCAAATTATTAATAAAATTATTGTGTAAAAAAATAATAAATAAAAATATTACTAATAAATTAATTAATAATAAATAAAAAGAAAAAATTAATATTTTCATCAATTATTTTCAATCTATGTACACATAATTTTTAAATGAATTCAAATGAAAAATTTTCTGGTTTAAAAAAAAACTGGACAATTTCAGTTTTAATTTTATATTAAACTGCATTTTATTTTTTTTTTCTGTGAAATTAATCAATGAAAGAAAAATAATCTAAATTTTCATTATTACTATTATTATTTTTCCTTAATAATATAATGATCATTTTATTTTTATAATAAAAACAAGAAGTCAGAGAGATGAGAACGAGGACTGGATTCAACCGGCATTAATTTGTTTTTTATATTATTAATATTACATGTACTACACAATGCATGAATACATAAGTGATTTTATGTGTGTTCAACAAAGAATCTCAATCAATATCAAAATAAATTTATTGAAAACATAAATTTTATTTTTCGTGATCAAGTATTGTGACAGGGGGGGGGGGGAGGGGTATAAACAAAACGAAAGCATATAAAATAGAAGCATAAGTGACAAATAATAAAATTTTGTAAACAATATTTTTTTGATTTATTTATTTATTGTTTGTTTTTCTTAAAACATTTTAATTTAAATATTAAAAAATAAGAATAATGAATGAAAATATTGTGTAAATTATTAAAAAATCACGTGTTCATTTTATTTTTCTTTTAAAATACAAATTTTTTCTTCAATAAATTGATTTTAATGAATTCTTAATTGAAAATGCCACTTCAATTCATCAATTGAATCGATTATTCTTTGTTATTTCACATTTTTCGATTTTAATTCTTTATTGTTTTAGTTTATGTTTTTTTTTTTTTTTTTAATGTATGGTAACAAGGGATGACAAGAAAATAAATATCAATTTTTTTTTTAAATTAAATTCGAATATTATTTCAAATTTGCGAAAATAAAATTGAATGACTAAGATTTTTTAAAGTACAATATGAAAATTTATTAAAATTGAAAAAATTGTGAAATTTAAATGAAATTTATAAGTTTTTGGGTACCTTTAGTAATTTATTTGAAGCGGGAAACATAAGTACTATTATGGCTAACAGCATATTAAGAATTTAGAATTATATTCCGTTCCGTTATTGGAGATGTTTAAATGTAATTGTGAAGAGATTTTAAGTTACATACACAAAAATTTATTTAATTTTAAGTGAATTATTTATGGTTCAAATATTAATTTAATTGAACAGTGAAATTAATGTTCAAGTGTGATCGAAATTTAAAAAATTGATTGATTTTGAATAGAAGTTTTCGATTTTTATTGCAGAACTGGTTATATATATAAATCAGAAATTTATTCGATATACAAGTAGTAGTAGTAGAGGAAAGGGGGGGCTTATCTGGCCACCAGGGCGAAGCGTATGCATTAAGCCAACAAGAAGGTAATCGGCAACTCTAATATTAATTTTCGACAAACCCCATGTGATACAAACCTTAAAAATTATTTATCGCAACCAATTAACCTGAATGCGCTTCTTCCAGGCGAGGTTAAAAGGTATCCCCAACAGACATTCGTTGAAGTGACTCCAAGCCTGTTGGTCACTTTTTCCAAGAGGCAATACCTTGTCAACATTTCCGCCATACCTTGCCAACAACGCCCTCGTCCTCTTCTCATTCCTACAAGGTTACAGCGCTCTGGCCACCCTGCAAGTCGCTCCTTTTAATGATGTCAATAAAATCCTTAAGCGCAGGCAATACCTTGTCAACATTCCCGCCATACCTTGCCAACAACGCAGTCGTCCTCTTCTCATTGTTACAAGGTTACAGCGCTCTGGCCACCCTGCAAGTTGCTCCTTTTAATTTTCTTATCTATGATGTCAATAGAATCGTTCAGCGCCAGACGGCACATTCGATATATTAACTCACTATATCATTTTGTGCAGATTTTACTGTATGGGTTTGAATAAACTCTCTACGACCTACATTCTTATTTAAAAGTGTTATTTACTAATTATTTATTATGTATATTTTAAATTATCTTATTTATTTGCATGTAAACAGGAAATTTTTTCGATTCCAGAGTAATTTATATTAAGAAATTGTCTTATAAAAAGCAAAAATATTTCACAAAATATGACAACAAAAAATTTTTTTCAATGAAATTTAATTTTTCCCTTTAAAAGTGGAAAACGACTATAATGTCAGGCGCCATTTAAAACGTAATTTTTAAATTTTACGCATACGCAAGTTACTTATTATTTTATTAGTCATTATTATTGTTTTTATGTTTTGACATTATGTTTAATATTTTGGATACACTTAATGTTGTTGATCAATTTAGAGATGACAAGAAAATGAAAACGAAAGAAAAAACGCTCTTTAATTTTAGCGTTGCTGCCATTGTCAATAATTGATTTATGATTTTTTATTATTTGTATATGATTTTTTAAGTCAAATTTTTAATTCAAAACAAATAATTTTATTTTCTTCAACTCAAATTTTCATATACAAATACAAAAAATATGTTTATTAGTTGTTTACATTTTTTAATTAATTTGTTTTTCTTTTGCTTTTTTCTGTGTGTTTAAGGTTCGATCAAATCGTCACGATGACCCTGAGAATGTACTATTAGATACGGAAATGGAAAAACTTTTCGATAAGGCATCGAAAAGTTTAACGAGAGTATCAAGCTATAATAAAAATGAAAAAGATAAATTTGATAAGTTATTAACACGAGATGGAGCTGATGATCAACCGATACCGATGTCATCATACAATGAAGATGGAAAATCATCCTTTGAACGTAAAATTTAGCTTAGTTTTTATAAAATTAGAATTTGGTGTATACTTGCAACTTTTTTGTCTTTACAATAAAGTTCGAACTTCACTTTGACTTTGTGATAAACTGTCACTTTTAATACAAATTGTTCGTGTGCTATTTCATAACGTACAACATTTTTTTCAGAACAGCGAAAATTTTTTATTGAAAGTGCACCAACGTCAGCTGTTTGGCCAATAAATGATTTTTCACTTGAAGATGGTGATGGTGGTGTCGGTGGCGGTGGAGGTGGAGGTGGCGGTGGCGTTGGCGATGGAGGTGGCGGTATTGGAGGCGGTGGTAGTCGTGCTCGTATTAACAGTCACCGTGGTGGTGGTGATAGCGAAAATTATGATGAAAAAGATGAGTTAATTGAAGCTGGTGATGACAATAAAATTGAAGAATCCCAAGAGCATAGTCCTTTGATATCTAGAAGAGCTGAATTTTCGGCTGGAGATCATTCGGTAAGTAGAAAACTTTTGAATTTTATGTAAATTGTTATTTTAATTTTTTTTATGCTACGCTTATAGGATAGTTCATTTGATGATAGACGAGTACAATTTAATAATCGAAAAACTTCTAATATATCGTTTGGAGCTACACAATTACCAGCTGCTGGTGAAGAAAATGATCGTTTTGAAGAACGAAAGAGAAGAAAAAGGTATATAGCTATTTTAATTTCAAAAATAAAATCTAAATAATTAATTTTTTATATAGCCGACATCAGTATTATCGTACAAGAAAATTATCACATCAAGAAGGTACCCAACGAAAAATATCAGAATCAGAACCAATACATAGTGATCATACAATTAGAAAAGTATCTGTTCAACCAGAAGATTTTACATTAGAAGAAGCTGATATTAATGAATTAACATCACATCGTTCTGATGATCAAAGAGCATTACGTCGACCAAAAATCCATTCAATTCGTATGAAAAAACATTCACAAAATAATTCATATTTATCACAAGGATTAAGTGGTTTTGAACCAATTATTAAAAAACATTTTGATCATAGTCCACATGAAATTTTCGTACAATTAGATGAATTATGTGGTACCGGTAAAGATCGTGAATGGAAAGAAACAGCACGTTGGATTAAATATGAAGAAGATTTAGAAGAAGGTTCTGATAGATGGGGTCGACCACATGTTGCATCATTATCATTTCATTCTTTAATTAATTTAAGACGTTGCTTAGAAACTGGTGTTGTATTATTGGATTTAGAAGAAAAAGATTTACCTGGTGTTGCATATCGTGTTGTTGAACAGGTCTGCAAATTATTTTTTTTTTATTTTTTAAATTGAATTATTTTTGTGATAATATTATTTTTTTGTATTTTAGATGGTAATAGCTGATTTAATTACAGCTGATGATAAAGCAGTTGTTATGAGAGCATTATTACTTAAACATCGACATGTTAATGAACATCCATATGGATTTTCATTTCCAAAAAAGAAAAATAGTAGCTGTGTTAGTTTACAAGTAAGTTTTTGTGCAAAGGAATTATATTTTGATAGTTTAGATTGCAAATGTGGCATTAGAATTGCACTGTCTCGTATAGACAAGGGGTTAATTAATTAATTTATTAGAAATTAATAGTTTATTGTAAAATATGTTAGTATTACTTAGTAGACGGCAATATTGACTATACTAACAATAATAGTGTTGCCGCGAATTCAATATTTTAAGAATAAAAATGAGAATCCAATTAGTTCTTAACAAGATTAGTAAATATTCTCTCCCAAATTCTCAGTTTTACAGTATATTTGTTTTGCTGTCAAAAATTTAATTTTAAAGGTTTTTAATGCGAAATTTTCGATTTTATTAATTGTATTTTTTTTTTGAGCGATATTAAAGAAATTAAATGATGATTTGGCAATATTTTTATAAGAAGAAAAAAAAATTTAAAATCTTTAAAAAATATCAATAATTTTTTTTTGCTTTAAAGGCGTATAATTTTCGCGCCGCCGTCGTTTCCATTGTACTTAAATTTTTTGTATCATTTTTTTATAAGATTATTAATCACAATTAATTGGAAGTTAAAGCGAAAGTCCATTAATTTTAATATTGCTCTTTTTTCTGTTTTTGTTTGGACCATCTTTTTTTAATAGTTTAAAGATGAAAAAAAAATAATTAATTACAAAAATACCATAAAACATTTATTTATCTTCTTATTTTTTCAATTCACAATAGGGGGGCGGGATAATTTTTTTATATTAATGACAAATAAAGTTTTTTTATATGTATGAGAGCTCGTAAATAGTAAGAAGAATTGAGTGAATAGTGTATATTAAATTTCTAGTTAAAATTTATAATGTTAGAACACATGGAATTTTTAAATTTGCTTTAGAATTCAGTGTAGCTACTGAATAATTTATTAGATTTCAATTTTCAATAGTAGCATTGTGAATTAATTTGTTCTTAGAAATCAGAAATTTTCCTTAACCGTTTTCTATGCAATGGGAACCTCTACGTTGCTCGATTAAATTTTAAATTTTGCATTTTCTCTGTGACTTCACACATATTAATTGTTTTCAGACCATTCCACTTTGTTCTTGAATTATTTTACATACTTAAGACATTTTTTTTGCAATTCAAATAAGTTGTTTTTTTTTTTTTTTAGAAATACGCGAAAGTAAACAAAGTTTTATGATTTGTTTAACAAATTTTTATGAGCTTCTTAAAGAAATGTTTATAAAAATTTTCTATATTAGAATTTTTAATTCAAATTTAATGAAATTATAAGCTCTTGATATTAAATTTTAATCGAAATATTTGAATTATAATGAAAATTTTTCAAATTATTTATTGAAGTTAATGAGCTCATTAAGAAATTTTTATTATTAAATTGATTATTTTTGCCGGATTCTATTATACTTTTGGGTTTAAGAGAAAATTAAGTAGGTATTTTCAATGCTCATGGAGTCATATTATTGTTAGATCTACTATTTTTGAAATTTTATCGATTCCTTTAATTTAAAATTTATATATAATTGTTGAATTTAGAATGAAATCACAAAATCATTATTAATTTCGAAAATTTTTCATTGTTTTTGGTTATAGACTTTGAATTCACAAAGTCTTAATGCAGATGATAAAAGACCAAGAATTTTACCAGCAAGTGAAATAAATGGAAATCGTAGTAAAAATGATCTTAAACTTGATAATAAAGATGATTTTAATTATTATTCATCATCCCAGGAGGATTTAAAGAAATTAATGAATGATACAATATTACGAAGAATTCCACAAGGTGCAGAAGCCACAACAGTATTAGTAAGTATTTCTTATTAATTCTATTAATTATTAATAATTTTAATATATAATAATGAATTTTATTTTATATAAATAGGTTGGTTCAGTTGAATTCTTAGAGAAGCCAACAATTGCTTTTATACGTTTAGCTGAAGGTATATTAATGCCATCAATAACCGAAGTACCAGTACCAGTACGTTTTATGTTCATATTAATGGGACCAAAATTAATGGATTTAGATTATCATGAAGTTGGTCGTTCAATAGCTACACTTATGGCAAACGAACATTTTCAAGAAATTGCATATAGAGCTGATGATAGAAAAGAATTATTATCAGCTATTAATGAATTTTTAGATGATTCAATTGTATTACCACCAGGTAATTGGGATCGTAATGATTTATTACCATTTGAAGAATTAAAAGCTAAACGTGATTGGATTAAAACAAGAAAAGCAAAAGCATTAGAAGTACAAGTAAGAAATTTGAATTACTGCCAAATTTAATCATAAAGATTCTAAAGCGGAAAATTTTTTTTTTTAATTTTAGGAAAAACTCCGAAAGAAAAAAATTCAAGAGGAAGAAGCATTAAAATTATTAAAGACAGAAGAAAAAGATTTTGATGAAAAGAAACCAAGAAAAGGACCATTAGAAAAAACACATAAATGGTGGGGCGGTTTACGTAACGATATTAAACGTCGCTACCCTATGTATAAAAGTGATATTCTTGATGGTTTGAATACTGAAACTTTGGCAGCTGCTACTTTTATGTTTTTTGCAAATTTATCAACAGCAATAACATTTGGTGGTTTAATGTCTGAAAAAACTCATTATCATATTGGAATCTCTGAAACTTTATTAGCATGCTCAATAGTTGGTGTTATTTTCCATACATTTGCTGGACAACCATTAGTTATAATTGGAACAACAGGACCTTTATTACTTTTCGATGAAGCACTCTTTCAATTTTGTCGATCACAAGAAATAAATTTTCTTGCCGTACGTTTGTATATTGGTATATGGTTAATAATAATTGGTTTAACTGTATCAGCATTTGAAGGAAGTACTTATGTTAGATTACTAACACGTTTTACACAAGAAATATTTTCAGCTTTAATAACTTTAATTTATATTGTTGAAACATTTATGAAACTTGTTATAATTTATCAAAGGCATCCATTATCATCAAGCAGTTATATAAATTCAAATGAATTAATGCCATCAGCTGAAGCATTAATTGGTGGTTTAGTCTCTGATTATGATGATCCATCAATATTCAATTCAACTGATTTACCATTAAATGATATTTTTGGATTAAATGAAACAACTACCATAAAAAATATTTCAGATGGATTATCATTAGTTGATTTAGATCGAGATAATCGACCAAGAAATCAACCGAATACAGCATTATTTTGTACATTTTTAACATTAGGAACATTTGCAATTGCCTATTATTTAAAATTATTCCGAAATTCACATTTTTTGGGTCGTAATGCTAGAAGAGCATTAGGTGATTTTGGTGTTCCAATAGCGATTGCATTATTTGTTGGTATCGATTATTTAATACAAGGTGTTTATACAGAAAAATTAAAAGTTCCTGAAGGATTATCACCAAGTTTACCTGGTCGTAGTTGGTTAGTTTCATTAAGTGGTACAAATGAATGGATACCATTTTTAGCTGCAATACCAGCTGTACTAGTTTATATTTTAATATTTATGGAAACACATATATCAGAATTAATTGTTGATAAACCAGAAAGAGGTTTAAAAAAAGGATCCGGTTTACATTTTGATATTGTATTATTAAGTTTTTTAAATTGTATATGTGGATCATTAGGTATGCCATGGCATTGTGCAGCTACAGTTCGTTCTGTGGCACATGTTTCTGCTGTAACAATAATGTCAAGGTAATTTTTTTTTAATTTTTAAATATTTTAAATCCTAATATTGGCACATATTTCAATTTTAGAACACATGCTCCAGGTGAATCACCACGTATCATTGATGTTAAAGAACAAAGAGTTTCTGGTCTATTTGTTTCAATTATGGTCGGTTTATCTGTTTTAATGACACCACTTTTAAGGCTTATACCAATGGCAGTGCTATTTGGTGTATTCTTATATATGGGTATAGCATCTATGAGTGGTGTACAATTATTTGAAAGGTGAATTATCACAAATATCAAATTTTATAAAAATAATTTTATGTATAAATTTTATAAAAATAAAAAACTAAATTATTATTCTATTTTAGGATTACATTGTATTTTATGCCAACAAAACATCATCCATCAACACCATATGTTAAACGGGTTCCAACTTGGAAAATGCATGCATTTACAACAGTTCAAGTATTTTGTTTAACTGTTTTATGGGTTGTTAAATCATCAATTATATCATTAGCTTTTCCATTCTTTTTAATAATGATGGTACCATTACGTTTTCAATTATCGAGATTTTATACATCAAAAGAAATGAATGCGGTAAGATTTCAAAATAAATTCCAAGTTGCTTCAATAATAATCAAGCCACCAGCTTTTATACTTAAATTTCTAATTATTTTTGTGTTATTTAATATTAAATAAGATAATTATTTCTTAAATTTTTATTAATTTTAAATTAAAAATTTTTCTTCTTGTAGTTGGATGGTACACAAGCAAAAATTGAAGCAGATGATGAACCTGATTTTTATGAACAAGCTGGTATTGTAGCATAAATAATTCGCAATCATATCAAATTTCGAATATTAAAAGAAAGCAAGGAAAATATGAGAATATTCCGTCGGGAATTGAAAAAGACAAAAAAGCAACAACAACAAGTTAAAAGAACAACTCAAAATATTGAACAACTTTAAAGAATATTTTAAGTGTTTCAATATTCAAATGATTTTTAAAAATTGAAATTAATAAATTTTTTCTTATTTGTATACAAAAATCTTAATTTGCACATTATTATAATTTTAATATTAATTATAATTTTATTGCTTTGTTTAATTTATTTAAATATTTAATTAATTAAAATTACTCATAAAAATATTAATAAAATATTATTACAAATATTGCTATTTAAATTTAGATTTCAATTATAAAAGCAAACAGCTCAATTTTTTTCATTTAAATAATTTCAATAAAATCGATATTGTAAACTACATACTTGAATCGATATTGTAAATCGATATTGTAGTTACTTAGTGTGCATAATATATAAAAAATTATATATAATAAGAAAAATTTTTATATTGTAAAACCGAAATTAAAATTTTTGAAAATTTATATTGAAAAAATATTGAATATTTTTAATTTATAGAACTAAAACTAAATTTAATAACACCTAAATGTTAATAGTATTAAAAATTATAAAAAATTATGTTCACTGCAGTAAAATAATCACATAAATTCTGTTAGTCGCATCACTTAACTTAAAGGGGGTTGTTATTCAAAAATTTTGTTATTTTCTAAATAAAATCAATTCAAAAATTTAAAATTCTAAAATGACACCTAGAATATTTTTAAATAATACCCCATCTACCACATCAAATGAGGCGAATAACAGAATATAAGTGAATATTTGTAAACTATTTATAAAATTTCTGTACCTATTATTAAAATATTTAAAAAATATATTTTTTATGTATGTATATATACAAACTTGTAATTATATTTGTAATTTAATATTGGATGTACATGTTTTTTTTTGAAAAAACCCAGTTGATATTTTAAAAATTTGTTTTTACTTTTATTTTATTACTTTGATATTTTCTATTAATTAATTTGAATTTTTTTTATAATTTTTTACTATTTAATAATCAGAAATTAAAAAGCATTAACAGAATAGAAAATTATGAAAAATTATTCAAAATAATTAAAAATTGAAATATAAGAATATTATTAATATTATATTCAAATATAGTTTTAATTAATATTTAAAAACAAAATTATATTAAAATAATATCGAATATTATAATGTATAATATGTATTGTATATGTTAATGTATTTGTCCAAATATAAATTATATTCCAGTTAATATTCCAATTTTGCATTCCCCTCTCCCTCTTAATTTTAATGAATTTTTATTAAAAAATTACAAATATCCAAATTATATATAAAATATATTATATTGAAAAAAAATTTTCATTCTTAATGGTAAAAAGATTTATTTGTAAATTAAGAGAAACTTTTATGTTATTAACTTTAATAGTTTTACAATTAAAATAATAAAAAATTAATTTTGAAAATTTACATTTTATTTAAAAATTTAATCAAAATAAATATATCTAATATTTAAGAATACTTAATTAATAAATAAATAAATAAATTAAAATATAAATTTATATAGAAATAAAAAAAAGATCTGTTTAAAATAGGCTGTTTTCCAGTATATCAAATGTGCGCAACTATGACGTTAGTCATGAATTTCAATGTGTCATAACGTACGGTTGATAAATTCCAATATAATATGTTATCAACGCAGCTCACTTTCATTTTACTTTTTATTTGCATTTCTTTTAAAGCTGATGCATAAATTGATTTTTATATATGAATGAAAAAGAAGACAATTTACTTTTGAAATTTTAAATTTTCCGTTTTATTGATATACTTTTTAAAATTTCAATTGCTAAAATTGCTTAATTTATTGCAGATGATTATCATTGGCAAAATTAAGTGAATTACGTGATTCCGAATGATATACTGGAGAACGGTTATAATTTTATTTTTTAATTTGAATATTTTAATTTCTAAAAGTCAATAATCGAATATTTGTAATTCCTATATGTAGGCCTTTTTACACAATACTAAAATCTATAATATTGATAAAGCAATTAAATGTTGTGATATTAAAAACCAGCAATGATTGTGTTAATGGCAAAAATTTTAAAATTTCAAAATTCTTGCATAACTCTATAGCTAGAATATGATTTGAATGAATTTTTGCCACGGTTTATTTATTTAAGCAGGCTGTCTGTTAATTAATCAATTTTATGTCCGTTTTTTTGCAAAAAAATTTTCACTGTTATAAATTATAAATGATATTGGAATATTTGTAATTTAAAAAAAAAGAAATTTTATAAAATGGACAGAATTGACCTATTCATAAATCGCGATGTAAGTGAAAACTGTAATTTATTTACCTGTAGTCTGTTCATAAATAGCTAAATTTTCGCAATATATTAGTATAACTAAGTAATGCAGTTAACTCATATGAACTGTTTTGATTTTATTATATTGCACATTCATCACATTGTGCTTTTGCAATATTGCACTCCGCGGTTGTTGTTTTGCCGTATTGCGCTTATCAAAATCTCTAATATTATATAATATTAATAGTACAAATACTTTTTATAAATTCCAATTCAAATTTAATAGGGATTACTTCAACGTAGGTCAATCAATAAACTGTACTATACTATACATACTACTAATTATTGTTATCTTATTAAAAATTCATTCCAGATCATTGACATTTTCGATATAATTTTACTTTTTTTTTTATTATATTCGCAAAAACAGCCACGAGAAATGTAGAAAATTTTTTTGTTCAAAAATAATTATCAATATAGCCAATTTAAATTGAACTTTTTCTATATTTAGAATTAAATTTCGATAATATAACAAAAAAAAAATCTTTAAAACAAAAAAAAAGACCATAAAAATTCGATTCCAATTATAAAAAATGGTTTCTGTTTTTTAAATGTTAATTTTTTTATGAGGATCGTTTTTAAACTGCCTGTCACGTACCTATGATGATTATTGTTTTTTTATTTTAGATAATTTTTTTTACTTTTGCTAAATGAATATTAAATTTTTTCTTTTTTCTCTCTCTCTCTCTCCTCTGCTACGAGTATATTTGAAAATACTTATTTAATTTTAAATTATTATTAAATTTTTATTAAATTGTGAACGCAATTCGCTAATTTTTTTTTTGGTTTTTGTTGTTTTTTAAAACTTAATAAATATGAATTAAAAATGTTTCTTTTCAAAGTGATTGACATCGTGTGAGCTCAGTTAAAATTAAAACTTAATAAAATAAATTAGTGTTTGCCGTTTTGGCAATTTATATTAGATTAAATGGCGAATAGTGTTCAAACAAAAAAAAAACAGAAAATTTAAAGCTATTTCAAGTAATTTTTTTGAAATTTGAGATTTTTAAATGAAATTACCAACAATATTTCAATACAATTTAAAAACATTCAAATCAGTTTTATGTAAGAGGGAATTTAAGTGAAGTAATTGGCCAATTTGGTTAAATAAATGCTAATAGAAAATTAAACAAACAGTCAAATTGTGTATTTAATTCTATTTCGAATCCGAAATCGCATTTTTTAATTGAATATCATTGTCCCATACATTTTTTTCCCACAATTAGATTTTCGCACTCTTTTTCAAAATATGAAAGTGAGCGCTTATCACCATCAAAAACAAAATGTATGATACGCAATACGAAAATTACTCTCGATTCTCACCCGAAAATTACTTAACACAAATATATGATAGTTGCCTCACTTTCTTCTCACTCGACGAGTAAAATAGTGAGATACACTACAAAAATAGCTTTATTTCTGCATTATGGAACTCTAAAATTAATTACATTAACGCATTTTTGAATTTTCAGTCTTTGAATTCAATGGAAAATTTAAATATTTTTGGAAGTATAGACGGAGCTGAATATTTAATATTATTACAATTTATGGAAAATAATTCAAAAATATATAAAAATTCTTAATTATTTTCTAATGAAATAAAATACAAATTTGCAATATTTTGCCAGTTCACTGATTTTGATTATGAAAATATTATAAAAATTTATAATTATGAAATTTTTATACAAAGACAATTTATTCATAAAATTCAATTTTAATTCATAACCGAAGAATAGTTGAAAAGGAAAATGTGTTACGCAAAAAAATAACAAGAACACGAAGATAAAAACAAAAATAGTTTACTGGTATTTGCTTTGTTTCATTTTACATTGTTTACTTGTATTCCAATTCAATTCTTTACTTATAAATAACACTCAATTAACTTCTTTTAAAAACTTGTTTTGAGTTCATGTACATTTTAAGAAATGTGGTAGTTTACAACAGTGTTGAAAGTATTTCGCTTTTCCTCGAATTTTTTTAAGCTCAATCAAAATTTTACAATTTTCTTATACTTTTCTTGTTCTTTGTTAAAAATTGAAGTGCCAATCAAAGGAAATTTGTAAATGAAAGTATAAATGAAATCATTAATTGTCAACTTTAGGGTACTTGACCATTGCAGGTGTGTAAAATTATTTGATTGGCAGAATGGGCTATATAAGAACAAATATTGCACCATACTGTATCAACAAAAAAGAAAACGTTGAATTCTCGAATTATTGAGCTTGTCGACGGCTCAACGTCGAATTTGGTAATTTTTCAAAAGATTTATTAAAGTTTTAGTGCATAAGTGCCTATTGACTGTTTTCTTCTGTAGAACAGACTAAGTGGAATTTCTTAAAATTTAAGTAGATTATAAATTTTGAAGAAAATCGAATGGGGACAAGAAGACATTTTCCCCCGGGCAACCTCAGCCTTTTGCGGCTAATTGTACTAACCCTCCCACTGCTCTGCTTATAATATCTTTGTTTCAAGTATAAAGCTGGAGATACGCCAAGGGAATTGGGCAGCAGTTCCCGATTACTTAGAAAACCCCGTACACAATAATGTTGGCACCGTACAACCCATATCGGGAAGTCGAAAAGAATTTGCACATCAGTTTCAGTATTTTCCACACCCAAAAAAACAGTAAGCAAGTACATACTTGTAAAAGAAGTTCAGTTTATAGTATTACACGTGAAATTACGAATTTATAATGCTATTTAAATTTATTTTATTAGTCTCTCTTTATTTCAGTGAAATTTAAGTTTTTTTATCTTACATAAACAAGCATTAAAGCCTGTCTCCACTAAAATTTTCATTTTTATTGTATTTACGTGAGTACATAATATGTGAACGTTGTAGAAAGTTAAATACGTGTTGATATTAAAATTAAGATAACAAAAAAAATCTTATTGTCATTGGTGCTAATTAAAAAATCAAATCTTTTATACATTCATTTACTTATGATCTGATACGCGTATGCATGATACAAACACACACACTCATACGGTTAATTAACAATTTTATAATTAATGTTAAATTTTAGCAAATCAACTAACGGAAACCAATTGTAAACGGTTTTCAATTTT